TTTTTTTTTTTTTTTAAACAGAGATGGGGTCTCACTATGTTGCCCAGGCTGGTCTCAAACTCCTGGGCTCAAATGATCTCCTGCTTCAGTCTCCCAAAGTGCTGGGATTACAGGCATGAGCCACCACACATAGCCAAGGCCTCTTGATGATTATTCACCTGAAGTTTGGCAGCTCCTCCTTTGATAAGACCACAGATAATTTCTTCTACTCTTGTAGGGTTCTTGATTCGAACTGAACTTTTCTGGAATTCTGGCATCTAAAGAGTAAAAGAAAATTAATTAGTTTTCATTCTTCTTTCCTCAGGTTCCTTTGATACCAACCAGAAGCTTGTCTTATTTAAAGACATAAAAATGTTAAGGCATTATTTTTAAAAAGCAAGCCACCACATCAAATTACCATTTATTTTTCTTATTACTACTCTTTTAGACATGCTGTCTTGTTTTGTCACCCAGGCTGAAGTGCAGTGGCACAATCCTAGCTCACTGTAGCCTCAAACTCCTGGGCTCAAATGCTCCTCCCATCTCAGCCTCCTGAGTAGGTAGAAGGCATGCGCCATCATACCCAGCTAATTTTTAAAATTTTCTGTAGAGGTGAGTGAGGTCTTGCTATGTTGCTCAGGCTGATCTTGAACTCCTGGCCTCAAGCAATCCTCCCACCTTGGCCTTCCAAAGTCCTGGGATTAAAAGTGTGGGACACCAAGCCCAGCTCCCACATTACCATTTATACACACAGAAATACTTAAAATGTATCAGTATTTTCTAGCTACAGAGTAAGACAAAACTACATTTGTGATTCAATTACATTATCAGAGAGTATATCTTTTTCTAATTATAAAAGCTATGCATGCTTACCACAGAAATAACAGTAAAAATATAAAAAAGACAATAAAAACTGCCTGGAGTTCAACTACTTGAAGATAAACAAGTAACATTTAAATTTATTTTCTATTAGTTTCATTTTTGTGATTTTTCTATTAGTTTCATTTCTGGGTTGTGATGCAATCCAGTCAGAGCCCAGAAATCATATTTTAACCATGAATACCCCAACAGCTACCCCGTGATTGATGTAATTTTTCTAAAAATCTTAAGATGACCCCCCATTAAGCCTCCATTTTATATAATACAATAAGTAAACTTCCACCCTAATACTAATACCTTAAGAATATCCCTCTGAAACATGCATATAGATGTACATAGTTTTAGCTCATCCTCATTATATACTTTTGCATCTGGCTTTTACAAATACATACATACATTTAGCTTGCCTACATATTTATATTTTCAAATGTTCCTGAGCAGAAAGGAAGCAATTATCATGATTATTCCCCCAAAAGTTTGTCTTTGTATAATTAAAATATATTTAAATTATTTAAAAATTGAAAAGCTGCTTCAAGATCTTTGCTCTTTTTATTGTACTATTTCCCAAATAATATACTGTTCTTGGCACATATTTTACAATAGATTTATTTCAAATTGAGATAACTGCCAAAAAGTATTGTGCCAGGCACAGTGGCACATGCCTGTAATCCCAGCTACTTGGAAGCTGAGGTAGGATCATTGGAGCCCAGGAGTTTGAGACCAGCCTGGGCAACATAGCAAGATCCATCTAAAACAATGGATGTAGTAGGCTGCTACTACAGAGTTATGAAGACTTTAGCGTTGCTCAACAATTTAATCTTAAGTATTATTTCTTGTTACTAGCTACTTTATCACAAATAGAATGAAACTGATTAGAGGAAAAATCAGTACAAGCTCTTACAGCACACATACAATACAACAAGGAGGAGAAAATTATGCCTCATTTTATAGTCAGTTATACAGTATAGGCAGTAATAGTACCTCAAATTCAGGCTCTATACTGGTTTGTATTGGATAATCTTTATTTATATATTTTTATTCTGGCTATGTTATTGGTAATATTAACATAGTTCATGTGTGTCATGGACATGGTTATAAAAATTCCCTGGACCTTCTATCTTTGCTACGAGAGAGTCTGACCAGGTAAATCTATCAGATGCTGTGTTGTTCCTACATAATGTGCAAGAGTAGAAAAATCAGAAAAAGGCTAGCCTGTCTCCCAAAGACTGGAAGATGATAATGAAAGTGTAGAGGAAAGAGGCCGGGCACGGTGGCTCATGCCTGTAATCCCAGCACTTTGGGAGGTTGGGGCGGGTGGATCACGAGGTCAGGAGATCAAGACCATCCTGGCTACCATGGTGAAACCCCGTCTCTACTAAAAATACAAAAAATTAGCTGGGCGTGGTGGCGGGTGCCTGTAGTCCCAGCTACTTGGGAGGCTGCGGCAGGAGAATGGTGTAAACCCGGGAGGCGGAGCTTGAAAAAAATAAAGAAAGTGTAGAAAAAAGAGAAGTGCTAACATTAAAATTTTCTCCATGGATGAAAGATCTACCACCTACAATACACTTAATTTTAAAAAGCCATATTTAAGTAGGATGACCTGCAATGCAAGTAAACTTGATGTAGTAATCCTTTTAACTTAACTGAATGAGTTTCAATAGATTAAAGGTTATGTATTTTATAGTGATTTTTCAATAGATGGAAAGGCAGATAGGCACTAGTTCCTACATTCTTTTTTTTCATACATTAACCCATTCACTCGCCTAACTAATATTTACCATGTGTCTACTTTGTGCCACACACTCTTGCTAGATGCTAGGGATATGATGATGAGTAGTATTTACTCTGCTTTTCTGCTGAGTTTTAGGGATGACTGCTGTTTTGGAATATCACTTCTGTAATTCCCTTAAAATACCTCAGCTAATAAGTTTATCTCTTGACAACTAATTTCTGTTCTTACTTCAGCCTTAACTGGCAGATGCACAGCAATCAGCATATGTTTGATTCAATAACCAATCCATTATGGTGAAAGCAACACAGGATATAGATCATAGACTATTTTTTCACCAAAAAAATTAAATATTCGATTTCAGTGTACCCATACTAAGACATCTTGCCTCAGACAAATGACAGCTTCAAGTTTTTGATAATGGATAGGAGAGAATCACACCAAGACCACTTTGAAGAAGGCTGGTTTCTGCTACACTGACAAATGTAAGAGTGGTTTATTTTATTTTTATAGAGATAAGGTCTTGCTATGTTGCCCAGGCTGGCCTCGAACTCCTGGGCTCAAGCAATCTCCCCGCTTCAGCCTCCCAAAATGCTGGGATTACAGGTGTGAGCCACCACGCCTGGCTAATACTGGTTTACTATAAATCACAATGGACGAAAGAGAACTGGTAGCTAAAGGCACTGGTGGCTGGCTCCTGTACAACATACAACCATTAATTTTCAGATAAATAAGTAGTGAATACACAAATGGCATGGGAGTAAAATAATGATGAAATAGGTATAAGAAATATAAAAATGACCATTCTATCTGTCTTGGGTTATGTAGTATACTATACTCCTCTCCTGCAATACACAATCAATGTCACTGATCTGTATGAGAAATACTTCACAAGAACTTGAGATATTGGGTATTTTACTCAAATACTTTATAATATAGCCTAAGAAAGATAATCAAAGACTCCTGTATGGAATATGTCAAAGAGTATCATAATATAAGCACACTGTAGAAGTATGATGAAATACATCACATACTTTTTGTTGTTGTTGTTGCTGAACACACCCCAACTGTTGCATGAGATCACATACTTTTGTTACCTCCACAAAGTCCTTCTGTCTATATCCCTCTCAGAAAAACACAGACATGGTTTGGTGGCACATAAATAATGATACTTCAAATTTGAAGGGCAAATTATTTTGAATTGTCTGAAAAATTTTCAATGTGATTATGATATAATTTTATGAAAAATAAATAAGAAGCTAAAAATTTCCATCATTTGTGATGAAAAGAGAACAAATTCATTTTATAGTAAAGCCACAGTGTAAAATATTAGGGAGGGAGAAATGCTTTCCTGAAAAGAATCAGGGTATGTTAGTTGATTGATGCCAAATCTGAATCAACACCAAAAATGATTAAGAAAGACCTAAAACACATTTATTTTGACCAATATAAAGATGAAATGGATTTCAAAGTTATGCCATTTTTATCCACAACTCAACTGCAATATTAGATTATTTGATATGATCTTGTAGATACACTGGAACAAGATAAAAATGAGAAGCTCCAAGGTACAGTTGCCAAATTTTGGGTGTGGCTTGGTATCATCAATCCAATGATAATGTTCCAGACTAGGGATAATCCTAATTTCCAGGATGAGATTATGAAAACTTCAAAGTTTAATTCTGTTTGAACTAGACTTCAAATTATATTAAATTTTGATTAAAAAAGAAAACATGGCCAGGCATGGTGGCTCATGCCTGTAATCCCAGCACTTCAGGAGGCCGAGGCAGGAGGACCACTTAAGCTCAGCAGTTCGAGACCAGGCTGGACAACATGGCGAAACCCCATCTCTACAAACAATACAAAAATTAGTCAGGCATGGTGGTGCACATCTGTAGTCCCAGATACTCGGAGGCTAAGGTGGGAGGATTGCCTGAGCCTGGGAGGCAGAGGTTGCAGTGAGCCGACATCATGCCACTGCACTCCAGCCTGGGTGACACAGTGAGACCTTGTCTCAAAAAACAGATAAATAAATAAATGAAAAAAAATTCATATTTTAACCAAGACTAAAAAAATTACTTGTACTTTTAATTTACAAATATATATGTTAATCTATATGAGTTTCATTTATTTATTATTTTTAAAATTTGTTTGGCTGGGCACAGTGGCTGATGCCTGGAATCCCAGCACTTTGGGAGGCCAAGGCCAGCGGATCACTTAAGGTCAGGAGTTTGAGACCAGCCTGGCCAACATAGTGAAACCCTCTCTCTATTAAAAATACAAAAATTAGCCGGGCATGGTAGCACATGCCTGTAATCCCAGTTACTTTGGAGGCTGAGACAGGAGAATTGCTTGAACCTGGGAGGCGGAGGTTGCAGTGAGCCGAGATGGCACCACTGCACTCTAGCCCGGGTGACAGAGCGAGACTCTGTCTCAAAAACAAACAAACAAAAAAAGGCCGGGCACGGTGGCTCATGCCTGTAATACCAGCACTTTGGGGGGCCAAGGCAGGCATATCACCAGAGGTCAGGAGTTCGAGATCAGCCTGGGTAACAGGGTGAAACCCTGTCTCTACTAAATATACAAAATTAGCACCACACACCTGTAATTCCTATTACTTGGGAGGCTGAGGCAGGAGAACTGCTTGAACCTGGGAGGTGGAGGCTGCAGTGAGCCAGGATTTTGCCACTGCACTCCAAGCCTGGGTGACAGAGTGAGACACGGTCTCCAAAAAAAAAAAAAAAAAAATTTACTTTTTTATTTTTATTTTTTGAGGCAGGGTCTTGCTCTGTCACCCAGGCTGGAGTGCAGTGGCGTGATCTTGCCTCACTGCAACTTTCAACTCCTGGGCTCAGGCGATCCCCCCACCTCAGCCTCTCAAGTAACTGGGACTATAGGGGCTCACCACTACTATTGGCTAATTTTTGCATTTTTTTGTAGAAAGAGGGTTTTGAAGTGTTGCCCAGGCTGGTCTTGAACTCCTGGGCTCAAGCAATCTGCCTGCCTCAGCATCCCCAAGTGTTGGGATTACAGGCATCAGCCACTGCACCTGACCTATTTAAAATTTGTTTTTGAGACAAGGTCTCACTCTGTCAACCAGGCCGGAGTGCAGTGGCGTGATCACAGCTCACTGCAGCCTTGACATTCTGGGCTCAATAGATCCTCCCACTTTAGCCTCCAGAGTAGCTGGGACTACGGTCACCTGCCACTATGCCCAGCTAATTTTTCAATTTTTGTAGAGACAGGTCTCACTATGTTGCCCAGGCTGGTCTCAAACTCCTGAGCTCAAATGATCCTCCCGCCTTGGCCTCCCAAAGTGCAGGGATTACAGGCATGAGCCATAGCACCCAGCCTCAGTGAATTTTAAATTACCTTAGTATTATCCTACATTTTTCTGGAAATAGCCCACATAAAAATTAGTTTGAATCACTTAAGAAATTTCAGTCAGATGTTTTCAGAGAAATATTCTTTCTTGGTTTTCCACTGTTTATATTTGGTAGCAACAAAAGACTTCATTACTGCAGTGGTACAAAGAAGTAGGCACTACAGTTTTTATCCAACTACACAGAAAGTATAGATTTAAAGCCACCTATTCAAACTGGTACATTTGCCCATACACATAGATCATTCTCTGATTTTTTTGGAAGATTATGCACTACTAAATTTTAGTAATAGTGATTTCCCTTGCCTATTATATATTCAGTCTGTTTCCACATTAAGATAGTGTAGGCAGGAGGGAGGGATGGCATTGGGAGTTATACCTGAGGTAAATGACGAGTTGATGGGTGCAGCACACCAACATGGCACATGTATACATATGTAACAAACTTGCACGTTGTGCGCATGTACCCTAGAACTTAAAGTATATATATATAAAAAAAAAGATAGTGTAGGCCAAATTCTTTCATTCCTTCACCACATATTAAGTATACAACAGTGTGTGAAGCCGCTCTGTAAAAGAAACATAAAATATAAATCTTACACTCAAGGTGCATATTCTGTAATGTGGATTATAAAATAGAAACCCAAATAATTAATACATTGCCAAGATGTCCCGATAAAATGTAAGAGGAATAGAAGAGACAGAGATTTCTTCTTCTGGGGTCAAAGGAGTAAGAGCCAACAGAGGTAGGCTCTGGAAGAGAAACAGGACTTAGATATGCTGAGATTAGGGAGTAATCAAAGTGCAGGGTCTAATGTGGGAAAAAGAGAAATAGCTCTGTTTGTCTAGAACATAAGTGTACACAGAGAAGTGTGCGTGTAAAAAGTCTGGACAGAGAGATCTGAATCCTGTTCATGAAAAGTGAAGAATAACATGCTATAAAGTTATCAATATTAAAGACGTGTCAATATTAAAGACGTATCAATATTTTTAGGAAAGCAAACCCAAGGTAAAAACTGTGTAAATTAATGCAATAATAGTTTAAAAAAAATCTTTTGCCTTATTTTCCTTCAACAGTCTGAACAACTGTGGGGTGAATACACTGCTACTTGCCTCTACAGACACCTTCTAGAGGGCTCTAGGACCCAAGTAACAACATTATACAAAGATGATTAACATTGTTTATATGTCAGGGAATTCCTATACTGCTTGTGTTCATATAAGATAAAAAAAAGTCAACCCAAACAAGAAAATAAGTTTTAGACTGGTTTAATTCTATGTGTCAAAGAGAGATGCTCAATTCCAATGAATCAAGTGCCAATCATTCAATGGATGCAAAGAGCTGCTATTAGGTTGAACCACATAAAACTGGCAATATTGGACTATATTTGACATATAAAAACAACAATTGCATGTGCTTCAATCTAAGAGCAATAACGAAACTGACTATGACTTAATTACCATTTTGAGTCAACTTTCACCTTTGATCCTACACTGGTTGAGGGAAAGATGAACAAGAGATTTATTAAGTGTGACCAAGTGCTGCTTGCTTGCTGTGTCATGCTCTAGTTTATAGGCCAGAAAAAAGCTAGACAGAAAGACAAAGCTGAAAAAATAAATGGAACAGAAGAGGAGGCACAACAATAAAAAGAACACAAAGAGAAAACAAGAGATCATAGGGCAGTTGTTCCCTCCAAAAGAAAGGATTTTTAAAAATTGTTGTTTTTAAGATTTTATCACTGTGAATATGGAGAACAGATGTAATTTCTTTTCACATATGCAAATAAATATGCCAGTTACACAGTTAAAACACTCACTAACATAATAGATTAATATTTAATGAATGCTTAATCTGCGGTTATTAGAAACTTTATATACATTTTCATTAAGTATGAATAATAACGCACAGTTGGTGGTTTCACACCCATTTCTTAAAGGTAAGATTACTGCTCTCATTCAGGGCTATAGAAACTAATAAGGAGTAAGATTTTTTTTTTTTGTGAGACGGAATCTTGCTCTGTCGCCCAGGCTGGAGTGCAGTGGCACAATCTTGGCTCACTGCAGCCTCCGCCTCCCAGGTTCAAGCCATTCGCCTGCCTCAGCCTCCCGAGTAGCTGCGACTACAGGAGCATGTTACCATGCCCGGCTAATTTTTTGTATTTTTAGTAGAGAAGGGGTTTCACTGTATTAGCCTGGACGGTCTTGATCTCCCGACCTCGTGATCCGCCCACCTCGGCCTCCCAAAGTGCTGGGATTACAGGCGCCTAGCCAGAATGAGTTAAGATATGAAGCCAGTTCTGACTCCAAAGCCTGTACATTTCCTATCTCATCCTAATATATATAATGCAACTCTATTGTCATGCAAGTAGTATTTAAAAAATTTCTGAATGCTTGTCATTTAAATTAGGAAGCCTACAATAATGTATTTCACATTGTATGATTTAAGTGTGCTATTGCTGAGCAAAGAAAATTTAGCATAAAAAGGAATGGGGAAACATTTTATATTCTGAGAAGCACAATAATGTGCATTAGATTTCAAGCAAAAACATTTTAAAGATAATTTGAAATTCAATTCAATAAGTATTTGAGGTTTATTTTGTGATGCACTGCGAAGAAAGAGTTGTATAAAATTTCAGTCCCATAATTATCTGGTTAGAGACAGAGGTAAAAGTGGTGAAGATTTACCATTAATAAATGGAACTGGAAATAGGCAAATACCCACCATTTTCACATGTACAGCAGACTCTTGATTAGTCATTTCTTGGTTATCCAATCTTCTGGATTTTCCCAGGTGATGTCACAGCAAAAGAGAAAAAAAAAAAGTACACGTGACATACATAAATTTCAGGTTCCTCCTGTTATGCTAATAATATACTAAGGTGGTATTTTCGGTATGACTTATTTTGTTTTTTAAAAATGTTTATTTTATGTACAAAGAACTAATATGGTTTCTTTCATTGGGTGGATGCCCTGGATAATTCATTCAAGGAAGATTACTTGGTCCAACTCAATGAAACCTATGTCCTTCATGTACTGACGGAAACACTGACGGCACATATTGAGGCTGTGTTTCCGGATCAGACTATGCTGGTTTGGGCAGATGTGAGAAGAGCGAGAACCCTGGCCCAACTTCTGTAGGTGGCTCCAGTAAGGCTGCTGGTGACCCATCTTGCTTTCGGGAGTGCAATGAGGCAAAAGGCTTTGTTATGATTTAACATAGCCTATATTTGACATATAAAGCATTTTTTTTTTTCTAAGAAGCTCGGCAAGGGTTTTACTCTATCCAGCATAGTTTTGGATTAAACATTTTGTATGGAGAATCTGAAGCTCTCCTACAAGAACTTATATGGTATTAAGAAAATTGAATAAACTGAAAATGGAGTACATATTTGCAAAGAGCACTTTATTGCAAGAATATTTTATCAACACTTTCTCTACATGTAAGGATGAAGTTTGTGGGAAAATTATGCATTGCTACTACTGAATCAATATAGGAATATACAGACAGAACAAAGTAAGGGAAGACATAACACAAAAGTCTAATTTTTCCTTCAATTTTCTTATATTAAAATCTTTAATTTTTTTTGTTTTTGAGATGGAGTCTTGCTCTGTTGCCAGGCTGGAGTGCAGTGCCGTGATCTCGGCTCACTGCAACCTCCGACTCCCAGGTTCAAATGATTCTGCTGCCTCAGCCTTCCAAGTAGGTGGGATTACAGGCGCATGCTGCCATGCCCGGCTAATTTTTGCATTTTTAGTAGAGACGGGGTTTCACCATGTTGGCCAGGAAGGCCTTGATCTCCTGACCTTGTGATCCGCCTGCCTCAGCCTCCCAAACTGCTGGGATTATAGGCGTGAGCCACTGCGCCTGGCCTAAATCTTTAATTTTTAAATATGATATGACTAAGATATGAGCTGCATTTGAATTGTGCATTGTGTCTAGCACAAAATAGGTATGTGACAGTGTTTGTTAACTGAATGAACCTTTTAGGCTCTGGGTGAAGTTTAAGTATATCTGTTCATCAAACAAAAGGAACCAGTTTTTAAAACATCCCTCATCATTATTCTAAGGTTTTTTTGTTGTTGTTGTGTTGGTAGTATAAAACTCAGGGAAAATTACTAATCTATTTTTGTTCCATAATGACTTTACTTTTACTTTATTTCAGATAAGTAAAGTTTTATAATTAAAGCACTATTTAAAAATGGCAACTTACTTGAAGGGGAGAAAATATCTGACATTTTCTTAAACTCTAGTAATGTAAGTTGGACATTAGATCTGTGTTCTTTATAATTAAAAGGTGTTATAGCGGATACATCAAATTTTCTCAAATTCTAACATTTGGTCCCTAACCCCTTCCATTTTAAGTCCATGAAATTACAAAATGTCTTTTTCTTCCTCTCTCAGAAAGCCTGCTAGTAAGTTGATAGTCTCATAATTGATGGCATCTTAGAATTAAGTACACATGATTTCCAAATAGTAAGATGATAACTTGCAGTTTTTCACATCTGAAAAAGAATGTATCTGCATATGAGTGTGTGTATATATATCGATATAAAGATGTGTATGTGTATATCTTTATACATATATATACACAGATATATATATACACACACACACATATATATACATACACACATACAGTATATAACCCAGAAAACATTTGATCACCACCCTCAAAATATAATGGTAGTTTGGGGATTAGTAGTCTTTTTTTTTTAATTATTATTATTATACTTTAAGTTCTAGGGTACATGTGCATAATGTGCAGGTTTGTTACATATGTATACTTGTGCCATGTTGGTGTGCTGCACCCATCAACTCGTCATTTACATCGGGTATAACTCCCAATGCAATCCCTCCCCCCTCCCCCCGGGATTAGTAGTCTTTAGCTTAGATGATTGTAGTCAAGTTTCAGTAGACCTTCCTTGGTCTAACTTTTTTCTTTCATAGTCATCCAGATTTCTAACAAACAAGGTATTACAGAAGCTGCATGCAAGTCTATTTCTTCATTCATAGCAATCAAAGCCTAATTATTAAATGCTTACAGCTTTTCTTTGATGTTTAATATGTGAAAAGTGGTGTAGATTTCTCAAAGAGCACTATTTAAATAAAACCATCTCATTAGCTTGAAAAAAAGGAAGAGTGTGGAGACTGTGGAAAAGTCTGTAAAAGTGTGGAAAAGTACTGTAGAATTTATGAAAATACCGCATAATCTGTGAAACATTTGAAAACCTCAAGGGCAAACAATGCATGCAGTGAAGAATTAAACACATTTTAATATCTAGGAAACTAAGATCTTTTTGTTACACATTCAGGTAGTAGAAGCCCTCTCTAGTCTCTATCTCTGAAGTATGGCTCTTTTTGGAACATACATTTTGAGTTTACAGGGGAAAAAAGTCAGTATAAGTTGGTAAAAGAATGATCATCTTTCTCATCATCTCATCAAATAAAAACAAAGAGTGATAAGAAATTTGATGGCCAACTTTAGGACCTTTTTTTTTTTTTTTGGTAAATATACCAGTAATTCATGAATACTATGCAAATTTCAACTGAAGAGCTTTCATTCTTCCCAGTCCTCGCTAGCAATCTGATCAGAATTTATCTTTGTTCAAAGATAATCGCACATAAAGTGATACTGCAGTCCTTACACAAAAATTGCTCTAAGGTCTATATCATTTAAAAAGTGTAAAGACTCAGGTGTAAAATGTCAGCATTCTGGCACTATTCTAAGGAAGACACGGAAAATTAGGGCAGAGTATTTTTAAACCAATAGGCTTGTAAACCTATACCTGGTATATAAAGTTCTGGCTTACTTTGCCAATGGTCATCTGTTGCAGATGCTTCAAGAGAAGAGTTGCTGGAAAAAACACATCAAGTGTAGAAGACGTGTTCAAAAATAGAAAATACTGCCCTTGAACTATGAACTCTCTTCAAAGGAAGTTTTAACATTTTAAGTCTTCAGAGTCTTTAAGTATGAACTGGAAAATGTGGAAACTGGAAAATAATTACTTTGTGTGCTTTTTGTATGAGATTAAGGTCTCTACTATAGCAGAGTTCTTTACAAGGAATATGTAGGACAAGGCTAAAGACTGAAGCAAGAGGTAAGAACTTCACTTAACACAAACTTGACAACTCAAAACTTTATCACGGTATTTCATTCTGACAATAGTTTACAAGTCAATTAATGAAAATTGATTGGTATGTCTACATGAAAAAAATTACCTGATTTAAAGCAAGTCTTAAAGTATCTGAATGCAAACTGATTACTTTTAAAGGTCTACTTGACTCTGTCTTACAGGAAAGTAAAAATGATTAAATTCATGAATATAGCTTTAAAAATTGTGACTGCTTTAATTGTGATACTCGCAGAAACATGTAAACTACATTGATAAGGTAAGAATATTGTGAATGCTAAACTGTGTATTACTTACATAAGAAGAGGCATATATTACTATAATATGGACACAGTATCAGCAACAGTACCAAACATCCATGGTGAATCCATTTTTCCTATACTTTTTCAGTAACCTGTACTATTTGACTTTCTTAAGCTTGGGTTTTTTTTTTTTTTTTTTTTTTTAATGTTTCTTAGGGTGATTAGCACATGCAAAATCAAACTGTAAGTTCATCTTTTCTGTATGGTTGTAATAATTTTGGGGGGCATTTAAATAATTTTCCCTAATTAGATTTTCAACTCACCGGTGGGGAAAAAGAAACACACAAGCTGCAAAGTGAAACTTTCTCGATACAGGCATAAAACAAAAATGAAACTAAATAGCAAAGAGTGGGAGGGGTAGAAGAGGAAAGAGGAAAGGAGGAAAGAGGAAAAAACAGATTTCAAAAGCTAGTTATTTAAAAATGGGCAATTTAAACCAATTTTCCTAAATGGTAAAGCAGCTATGGAGTCAGAATTCTGTAGATATTTATGTAAATAAATAATTTTAGTGTTTAGAATTTATTCCTCTATCCTTCCCACGCTCACTGCCTCTAATATCTAACAATATTTTTTCAAGATAAGTAAACCACATACACAGCACATGGAAACTAAGTAATTTATACTGACAACCCTTAAGGCACTCTGAGTTCTTCTGTCCTTGAATTTGTCCTAGAACAACAGCATAGGTGACAAGCAATACCCAGAGATGCCGGGCTTGGATGCAGGCTGCCAATAAAAACTAAGCAAACTGCTTTAAGAAACGGTCTGCAGCATGATCTAACTTCTCTGACTTAAAGGAAAAAAAACAAAACTATAAAATGTAGAGAATTAAATTATTTAAATATAACTTAGCCATAATATTCTAGGCTTTTACTATAATATAAATTTTTGAATCTTAATTTTCAATATTTAATTTGTTATAAATCTATAATCTAACTTTTATCAATTCATAAAACATACCAGTGATAATCCCATTCTATAAAATCCTGGGTAAAGCTCATGTGCACAAAATAAAAATTGATAATCTTTATTACTACCCATAATAAATGTTTCCTAATCCTAGTAACACAAAGCTTGTGGCTGTCAGTAAAACTGAGTCACACAGCGACTGAATGAACAACAAAATTGAATCTTAGAGTGTTTCCCCTCAACCTGGAAAGAGGCTTCTGAAGGTACTTTGTTTTTTCTTAACATCTACATGTAAAACAAGAAGCTCTTAAAATTAGAACATATAAAATGTAATTTCTGAGACCTAAGACTCTTCAAAGTTTTGCACATTCATTTCTTCACAAATTATAAAGAAGTTTTGCATTATACTGGATCATTCTTTTATTTCCTAAGCTTGTATTTTAAAATGCCCAAAATTTCAGTAAGATACAGAATCAAATAAGAATCACATAAAGTTAGACAAGAGAAACTCATTTACATGAACTGTACACACTTACCCTGAAGGTAACCGGACAAGGCACACCAGCAAAAGAAAATTCTTCCTGTCTGAGAAGTACTAATATAGCACAAGGTGCAAATGAGGGCGGTTCCAAAAGCCTTGACTAAGCCCTATGCAAAAACCTTGTGACGCACTGCTGCACAGTACTTTATATATGCTCTTGGTCACAGCCTCGCTAGCTCTGAGCTAGTCATCAGTCAAGCTACATAACATTATCAATTGAAGTTATGTGATGATTAAAGAGAAGGTAAATCTGTACTATTAGAACTGGCAACTGGCTCTGGAAAGAAAAGAGGAACCTCTACACTAACACTTAAAAACATTCCCTTCCTCGTGGTTTGTCAGTGGTTTGTCAGTGCACTTCTGATATGTGAACTTTTCTGTATATTCTATTTTAATACAAAGTTAAAAAGATTAGGTTGCTGCTGCCAGGGCTGGAGGAGGAGGATGGGGAATTATTGCTCAAAGGATAGAGTTTCAGTTTTAGCAGATGAAAAGAGTTCTGGAGTGGACAGTGGTTATGGTTGCACAGCAGTGTAGATGTACTTAATGCCACCAAATTAAATGTTTAAAAATGGTTTAAATGGTACCGTTTATATTATGTATATTTTACCACAATTAAAAAAAAGATTAGCTCACTTAAAGTTCATAGACAAAAAGACAAGATATATGCAAATGTGGTCAAAAGACTGTTAATAGTCTTTAGCAAAGGGCAGTGGGATTTAAAGTAATTTTTATATTTTCCTATACTTTTAATGAGACCAGCCATAAAATCTGAAAATGAAAATTAACTTCTATTTTTAAAAATTTTGGGAAAAAGTTCCTTCCTGTTAGAAATAAGAGCAGTCCAACTGTCGTAAAGAAAATATTTTTATTTTTATTTTTTTAAAGAGAACTAGTCTTGCTTTTAACCTGAGTAGTAGGGTGGCAATATGCTAATACCATGTGTCAGGACCTGATAGATAAGTTATGCCACGGGCTGTGGGAAACTTTATCATTAGGAACATGGCTACGCTACACTTACGTAAATAAATTTTTATTATCGGCTTTCTCTCTACTGCCCTCAGGGAAATCTAGTCTAGGTAATATTTCAGTAATCAAATTTTGTGAAGTATCATTCTCTATTAAAAACAACATGAAAAAATTTTTTAATTGCTGTTAAAATTGGTGTTAAAAAGCTATCCAGGCTGGGTGCGGTGGCTCATGCCTGTAATCCCTGCACTTTCGAAGGCCGAGGCGGGTGGATCACCTGAGGTCAGGAGTTCGAGACCAACCTGGCCAACATGATGAAACTCCATCTCTACTAAAAACACAAAAAATTAGCCAGACCTGGTGGCCGGTGCCTGTAATCCCAGCTACTCGGGGCAGGAGAATCACTTGAACCCGGAAGGCAGAGGTTGCAGTGAGCTGAGATCGTGCCACTGCACTCGAGTCCACGCAACAAGAGCAAAACTCTGTTTCAAAAAAAAACAAACAAAACAAAACACAACAAAAACCTCAAAACCAAAAACCAAAAAACAAAACTATCCAAATCTGTATCTACCAAATGTGAAACTTTTGACACTGCTATCTTATTTTAATAAAATAATAAAATTCATAATGAAACACTCCTCTAAGAGGATAGCCTATTATTTCTAATCAGTAATGAAGACTCAAGGGCCACAAAAGGGTTCCATTTCTAAAATAGTTCTGTATTATATATGGAAATGATGACTTAAATGTCCTTTAATATTACTATAGTTAACAATGGTAAGAATTTGAAATATATCACTTTGAAAGATGATTCACAGATCACTTTCAACAACCAAGAATATTGAAATGGGCCAGGCGTGGTGGCTCATGCCTGTAATCCCAGCACTTTGGGAGGCCAAGGCGAGTGGATCACCAAGTCAGGAGATCGAGACCATCCTGGCTAACATGGTGAAACCCCCTCTCTACTAAAAATATATTCTAAAAAATTAGCCGGATGTGGTGGCGGGCACCTGTAGTCCCAGCTACTTGGGAGGTTGAGGCAGGAGAATGGTGTGAACCTGGAAGGTGGAGCTTGCAGTGAGCCGAGATCACGCCACCACATTCCAGTCTGGGTGACAGAGTGAGACTCTGACTCAAAAAAAAAAAAAAAAAAAAGAATATTGAAATAATAGTTCTACAATCTTTTTGGAGTGCAATTTAGAAATACTATTAAAAGCATTAGCAATATACATTCCCTTTGACATACCAATTTTGTGTCTAGAAATTTTTCCTAAAGAAATTAGGCGGTACACAAAATTAGCTTCCAGGATGTATACTGCAAATTTGTTTTATAATTCTGGGAAACTGGAAACAACCTACATGGCTGATATTTAAATGTTCACGAATACAGAAGAGGTGAATAAACTGTGATATATACATAAAATATAAAATTATACTGCTCTTAAAAATTATTATGAATAGCTAAAATGTATTGTGTTTACTATGTGCCAGATGTCTCTAAGCACTTGATATTCCTTGTCTCATATAATACTTATAAACAACCTTAGAAGGTATGTGCTAGTATTATTCTCATTTTACTAGTGAGCAAATTAAGCCTTATACTTGACAAGTGGCAGAAATGGATTCAAACTCAGTTCTAACTTCAGAATCCATGTTTCAGATCACTGCACAGTACTGCTCCATGAGCTGAGTATTTACAGACATATGGTCTACTATTGATTGAAAAAGGTTATAATATCTACAGCAAGAGACCAATTTGCGGAGGAAAAATCTTTATACAAGTATAGGAAAGTTTAAAATAGAATACATAAGACAGTATTTGTAATGACATTAAGGGGCCATTTTTACAACCTGAGTTTTAGAAAATAAATGTGCTCCTTGAGAAATTTAAATAGCATGTTAAAAAACGTCATAGGAGTAGCACCTATAGTGTCCATAATCAGAAAAGAAAGCTAAAAATCCAGTCAACATCATATAGTTGGATTGTTTGAAACAATGTTTCTAACGGAGACACAGAAGCAAAGAATCCAGCCAGCTTAGTGGGCTCCAAAACAAAACACTTCATGGCATGGAAAGAAAGCTGGCTGGTATCCTATCAAAAGGAGTGTTGGTCTCTAAGGGTAGGTGGTTTGGGCTCTGCTGGTGTGTGTGCCTGTCCTGCTAGTCTGATTCTAAGAAGAGGGAAGAGGGGGAATATGGATGTCGCTTCCTGCCTGTAACAGACTTCATCTTTTTAATTCCACCCAGTGTGTACGTGATAGGAGTGAGGTAGGAGTGAGATAGTGGGACTGATGGGGTGTCCCTGGAAGAGGGACTAACATGTATCAAGCACTTTCTTGCTTTGTCAAAGTCCCAGAAGCATGCAATGGCCCTTTATATACATTGTAATTCAACTGGTATAATTTTAAGAGAAAAACAATACTTCTCCCTTTTTATAAAGAATCTGAAGTCAGGAGAAGTTAACACACTTACTACTTATGTGACTTAATGTACAAGAGTTGGGACACTTTTTTTGTTTTTCTTTTTTTTTGAGACAGAGTTTCACTCTCGTTGCCCAGGCTGGAGTACAATGACGCGATCTGGGCACACCGCAACCTCCCCCTCTTGAGTTCAAGAGATTCTCATGCCTCAGCCTTCCCCAGCAGCTGGGATTACAGGCATGCGCCACTATGCCCGGCTAATTTTGTATGGGAAACTTTTTGAACCAAACTATATCAGGCTGTCTCTGGGCAACACATAACATGAGAGGGCTTGAGAAGTCTACGAATGAGTAAGAATGTTTAAAAAATATGCCACAAGAAAGGAACAAGGACACAAGCAAAGCACTGAATCAAAGATACTGAATTTTGTTTCTAACAGCTCCAGGGCACTTAATTTTTTTTTTTTTGAGAAGGGATAGAAAGGATATGGAAGTACAAAGTTGTAAAGACAGGTTATTTAACTGCACAGTGGACTTTCACCTCTGTACACAATAACTGGGCCCTGTTGCCTTGGAGTTTCTTTACTCATTGACATAGAAACAGAAATCACTCCTATCACTTCTAGTGGCAAACTCTGGATCTAAAATTCATATGCCAAAGAGCACAGCACCTGTACAGAATTCACATCTTTGGAAGATTTTTTTCCCTCCCCTTTTAACACTGAAACTGAATGTCTTTATCCATGGAAAAAGGGATATCCATTTGTATTTCTGAGTAACTAGTTAAGAGCTTTTTAGATAGTCAATTATTCAATCAACTTGAAAAACTAAAAATTATCACTTCGTATTTTGTCATCAGAAGATTTCTCAGAAATTCCAAATAATGAAAAAACAAAAAGCCCTCAGAAAACCAAATATATGAATTTAAGCTTTAATAACTTATTATTTGTCTTTAACATTGGGACAGGGAAGTAAACAAAGGTATTGCATTAATTAAAAGTTGCATGTAAAAGAAATCACATCATAATCCCGCATAAAACCTGTAGCAAGTATTGTTATTTCTCAACAATACAATCTAGACTTACCTACTAACTTATAGTTGGGCTACTATAATCCAATTACCTTTCCAACAAGGAATGTATTTTTAAACTTAAATCGGATGACACCCTAGGAAGTTATTCCAAACAAAACAATGAAGCCACCATATAAGGAAGGCAATTTAGAAGATGAGATGCAATAGTCTCTATACTGACTCTTGCGAAACTTGTTCTTGCTAATTGCTGCATGATGTAAATAGAAAGATGATTTTTTTAAACATGCAAAACATCAGTCTAGGTATGTTAACTTCTCTTCAAACTTCCCTGAAGACAACAGTGAATTGACTTCAATATTATGACTGTTCAAAATAGAACTGAAACAAGGTACTATAAATGTTTACATGAATATGGTTTAAAATGTATAAGGAGCAGAAAACAGAGATGAAACAATCATTTACTATATTTTTTGAAAATGAACGGCAAATGAAAATTTTCTTTTTCTGTTTTTTTTTTGAGACAGAGTCTCACTCTGTCACCCATGCTGGAGTGCAGTGGCACGATCTCAGCTCACTGCAACCTCTGCCTCCCGAGTTCAAGCGAATCTTCTGCTTCAGCCTCCCGAGTAGCTAGGACTACAGGTGTGCGCCACCACACCTGGCTAATTTTTGTGTTTTTAGTAGAGATGGGGTTTCACCATGTTGTCCAGGCTGGTCTCAATCTCCTGACCTCATGATCCACCCGCCTTGGCCTCCCAAAGTGCTGGGATTACAGGCGTAAGCCACTGCACCCGGCCCTCATTTTTTTTTTAAATTTTCTTTAAAAAAAAAACATAAAGACTGGGTCTCATTATGTTGCCTACGCTGTAGTACGGTGCCTATTCACAGCCGTGACCTTACCACTGATCCACTTAGGAGTTTGGACCTGCTCTATTTCCAACCAGGGCTAGTTCACCCCTCCTCAGGCAACCTGGTGGTCCTCTGCTCCCAGGAGGTTCCTATATTGATGCAGAACTTAGTGCAGACACTTGATTGGCACAGCACACTAAAGCGTGGAACTCTTGGGCTCAAGTGATCCTTCCACCTCAACCTCCCAAGGACTATAGGCGCTAGGCCAGTAAGCCCAGCCTCATGTTTTTTATCATTTAAGACCACTGCAAAAATTTATCCTAGTAGATGACTGTGAGTGAGACTGATTGCAGCCTTATGAATTTACAGACATATGTATATGCAAACTGAGGAGAACCTATGGTTCCCATG